AATAGCGAACACTAGCAGGTTATGAATGTCACTTAGTGTAATAAAAATCCCAACATCAGCACAGCAGTTCTTCAGCAAGTACTCACAAGGATATCAGGTTTTCTATACAAAATCACAAATAAGCAGCTTGGCTAAGGCTTATGGAGTAAAGTAGGAAATGAAAACATTTCTTGCCTTCCACTAAGTAAGAAAAGATTTTTTTTTATAGAACAGAAGCATAACCAGGAACATTTTAAAATACAGATGTTATAAATGACAGCTTTCTTTAAACTGTTTTAAATAATGAATCTCCTCTGCTCTGCTTTCACTTAAGCAAGTGAATGTAAGGATTCTGAATGTTCCACTGCATAAGTATCTTTTCCAAAAACTGATACCAGAAAAATGTGCTAGGAAGTGAACTAATTAACTAGACATTAGAGGATAGCACATATTTCACTGTTTTTTATTTCCGGTGTGCTGAATGCAAAGAATGAAGATCTAGAAAAAAATCCTATATAGATGTATTCTCTATTCAAAAGCTAAGAAGCATTAGCCTTTATTTATGCTATTACTTTTTTCATGGAAAGCTCCATGATTGAAGCACCAGGATAGCACACTGCTGTTAGCCTACTAAACCAAACTTCATGAAAGTTAACAACTACTGCACTAATAATCAGTGAGAAAGGCAGCATCCACTACAAATCTGACTTTTTCACATGTCTGTAAACACTAACCACACAATTTGCAGCAAGTTAAAATAGAGCTTTTTCCTTGGGCTTGGTTTCTTGACAGAAAGAACTCTCTGTGAAATTGATTAAAATCCAATTCTGCTCTGGAGTCAAATGACTGCAATATTACTTGAGAGCTTCTGAGCTCATATTTGTCCTTCTCTGCTTCTAGAGGACTCTTTCAGAAAGTGCCCCCAAAGACAGTGCACCCTGAGGGGCATTTCTCAGTAATTGTGGTGGGTATATTTTGCAACAGTGAGTAAATCTACACTTTAAACTGCAGTGTGGAGTTGATATAACTGAGTTGGATTCATAGTGGAACCAACCTAGCTATAATAACACAGAGTTCTGGAGAAGCTAAGTTAATCTGCCTTGTAGGAGAATCAGCCAGCCTTATGTACCATTTCCCACACTATCATCCTGTGCTAATATGCTGAGCTTTGTCTACAACCTGTGCCAATATATCTTGCCTATCTGTAAGACATCACTGTAGAGTGTTAAGCTGCACTTTGGAATGTGATCGGAGATACCCTAAAAGACAGCAGAAGTTGTACCTTTCATTCTCAGATATGTCTGTTTGAACTGGATTTCTGAGGATCAGTAACCATGGAAAATGGAGACTTTCATCTCTACTTACTAAAAAGTTTATGCAAATGTTGGTATTCGCACAATGTCTATCAGTGCTCCTCCACAGAGATACCTTCCAAAGCTTTTTCCTGCTCATAAACACCTTGTGTGTATGAAGTGACAGGACTTGCAGTAGAAGGCTTGAGAAACTTAATTTTCATGATTTTTCTCCCTGAGAAACAGGAAGAAAAATAATGAAAATTATTTTCCTGAGTTTCTCCCTGACACTCCTGCTTCTGAGTGGGCTTTACAGAACACTGCTATATGGATAGATCATAAGACAGAGGTGGACTGGGGAAGAAGCAGCTATTTCAATAGTGAATTTTATGTTAAGTATAGTCACTAGATAGCCCTAGTGCCCATTTTGTCTTATTAATGAAGCATTCCTTGTCCACAGCAAAAAGTGAGGGTATATCACACTGTCTATGCCCAAATCTCTAGCTTTCAATGATCCCACTGAATTCTGTAAAATCAGAAGCTCTGCACAGCATTTTCAGAAATGCATTTATGGTATTGTACAGCAATAAAAGCGTTCTCTCCTTTTTCATCAGCGTGGTCAAAAGTCTTTTGATAAGAAAAATGGCAACACAGAATACGGGTAATTCATTACACAAAATCCTCTTGTGTAAATCAAGAATGATTCAACCAAACAAGTTGCAATACTTACAAATATGTCAACAAATAACATTGGCTTGTCTTAAAAATCTCTTTGTTTGAGATAAGAAGTATTTTTCCTTTTCCTTATGGTAGCCTGTAGCTCTAAAGATGTGCTGAGAAAAACTTTACTTGAGGGATTTGTTTGTCAAAACTTGTCACTGAGTTTAGCTTGTAAAATGACAGCAGGAATTAAATCTTGGATGAAAACATTTTCTTAGGACGCACATACAGTCCTTTCTCAGGAAAAATGCTTATTTATTGGGTAATAGGAAGAAAGCTGGTAGAATTAAACTACTGCTGTATGCTTTTCTCAATTGCTATTTCATGGGATACCATTTTGACGTTTCTAGTATTTGTTACTGCCTCATTTATTCAGTTCCTAAATCTGTAATCCCTGCTAAGGCAGAAGTCATACTGAATTGACTAGAAAACAGACACAAACAACCATCAATTTCTCCTTGGCTCTGCTACTGAAAAAGAAAATAAATTTAATTGTCACATTATTAAATCTTGGAAACAACTGTGCTTCATAATATATAACTCCAACTAAGGGAACATCATCAGTAAACAACTATGATGGCATTTAGTCATTCATAAAAACCACAGGATACTGTTTTGTCCCCCAGGAAGATAAAGTTCTTTCAATACACTGGGTTAATGCAGAAAGGAGCAGACAAGATCTCAAGGACACTGTTTATGAATACACGAATTGTGGCAGCCCCATTGGCAGGATATCAAGTCTGAAGGACTTACTGATTGAACATTATGTGAATGAAGTATTTGATGCACTCACACAGATTCAGCATCACGTCCAAAGGAGACACTGCAGCCTCAGATGTGTCTCATATTCTGTGAATATTCCACACCAGGTGGAACCACTGGCTTATGACACCAGCGGTTATGAAAGAACTGGAGATCCCACTCACCATCCACAGCAATCCTTAACCATTTCACATGGTAAGATTTAAACTCAGCTACTCAAGAGGAACAAATCAAAACACTACACATTATAATTGTCTTTAAAACCTATAAGGCATCTTACAGCAACACCTTAATGACCACATAATTAAGCACAAGATCTAAATGGAGAAAAAAGGACCTTCAAAGTAAATGCTCACTATCTTTTTTCTTTTCTACCTGTGCAAAGCCACTGGGCTCGATTCCATTGTCTTACTGATGGTGCCTGAGTGCAACCGATCACAGAATACAATTTATAAGATGGTTACTTGAAAAGTCTTGGGATTCTTACAGAGGAAGTTGTGAACCAGAGAAAAGAGAGTAGCAGTATGATGAATAGGAAAGACTTTGCTGTAGGGAGTGGACAGAGAGGGCTAAGCGCAAGCAAAGGAAAATTTAGGAAAAAGCTTTCTAAATTAGCATGCTAAGGAAACACAGCAGGAAGCATGTACAGGGGGAGAAGGACTGAGTGGAATAAAACCAAGTTTGATACACAAGGTGAATTTGTTGAGGGATTTCAAAGAAGCAGAATTATACACTTTAGGAAGATGGCCAAAAAAAGGTACAAGGAGGTTAAGTAAGAGGAAGGGAAGCAATGGAAGTGCCAAGTCAGCTAGGAAAGTGTAGGTTACAAGGCATATGTTACAAGTGACAGGAATCAAATTAAGAAATATTAAGGTACAGACAGAGGTGGGAGGTGAGGAAAATGTGTGTTATACGAGAATAAATGATACAAAAATTTGATATTAATCTGAATATGAAAATAGAGTAATGAAATATACCTTCTGTTGCCCACCACACTGATGAGAATGAATGAGGAAAAATAGTAATAGGCTGATACAACACAAAAGTATTTGGGATCAAAATTTAGCACTCATTTTGATACCTAAAATGCCAGTAAAATAGCTACTGTGAAATAGCAAAGAAAAGAGAAAGGAGAAAGCTGTTTTATTTAATTGTACATTTACTACTTGTATTGTCAGACCACCACCATGACAAATGGCTTTGTTCATTTACAGAGAATTATACTAAGGGTAAATGCTGGTGGGGTTCACAGCAGATCCTTCAGTGTTTTTAAAGATACTGTACTTTGTCAGACAAGCAGCAAACCAAAAGCACAACTCCTGGCCTGCGACAGAGCTGACAAATGCGCCTGATTTTGAGTAAAAAGCCTTCATTCTGTATGTCCAAAAACATTGCAGCAGAGCTGAATGAGAGAGATTACTTGTGGCTCCAGCCTCATACAATCAGCTTAACACCATAAAGAATGGGACAAGATCAGGTCTGCAAACTGGACAGTTCAGTCTGGGCACTGTATTTTTTTTAAGTGGATACATAATCCTCATTGTTTGTGATTGATCCTGTCTCAGCCAACAACTGAGAAGGCATTTCAATCCCAAGTCCCTGAAGTTCAGAGGTTTACAACCTTCTGATCAGAAAGATACCCTGAATTAATTTTTTTCAAGTGCAAGATTATTTAAAACTAATTTTTATGCTCAGAAATGCGGTGTTTTTTGTTTTGTTTTGTTTTTTTTTTAACCTAGGTCACTTAAACCCAGTTTTAAAAAGCAAAATATGGGTAGTTCAAACAAATGAAGATAAAAGTGTAAGATTTAAGAAGTTACCATAAACCTACATGAGACTAATCTTATCACCTGTGAAGTGAAGTTCACTGAACATACTACTGCTTTGAAATGACAGAATTACAGAACAATTTACATTGGAAGGAATCTCTGGAAATCATCTGGTTTAAACCTCACATCCTGAAAAGTCCAGAAGACAATATTGCAGAACTGTGTGCACCAAGAATTTAGAAGAGCTCCATGTGATATGTAGAAGAGCTCCACGATATGCACAGGGAAACAGGTAACCAAAAGTCTGTTCAACACTGATAATGGAGATACAATCCTTGCACAGGATATGCCTCATCCTTGTTTTCAGGCTGGCAAACACGTGCCACTGCTGGATGTGCATTTCTGTTGTCTTCAAGCAACAGCAAACAATCTATTCTTCCCACTCACTTCTGTGAGTCATCAGGCTTTACTCACTGACCTGTCTCCTGAAGTGGGTGTCCCTGGAAGGTCAGATGTGCGCTGTTATCTCGATGACCTCATCTGGGTGCCATTCTCACAGTCCTCCTTGCATGGTTGCTTTGGTCCTTCTACACCCATTCAATCCCATTCTCACCAAGGTGCCCGCTACAATTCTCAACAAAAGAAGAGACAGGTCTGAAGGGCCTTGTCCATTTGAGCATTATGAACCCTCCTGATGCTGGAGGGTTCACAAATCCCCTGGGCAGTGATTCACAGTGAGGAATGTAGTTTTATCTCAACCACCCATGAACCGCACTATCAAATAAAGATAAAATTTATATGGATGTATTTCTACAGGAACATTGATATTTCCAGGTATTTTTCTTTATAATATATTATGTCTTTGATTATTCGGATTTTCAAAAGCAGGTCTAACACACAGTGCATTTTCAAGCAAGTGGTACAAAGGAAGGAGTGTGCTGTTTGACACACTATGCTTCCACACTTATGAATTCATTACTATATATTCAGGAAAATACATAGATAAAAGCTGAAATTGCAATTTTCACACTGAAAATGAGCACTAGTATCTCTTCATAAAGGAAACCACATCAGATAGACTATTGTGGCTAGTAACTGTTGTTCAACTGGAATAAAAAACTGCATTTCTGAAAATGCAAAACAAAAAAAGTGGAAATCCGAGGCCAGGTTGGATGGGGCTTTGAACAATCTGGTCTAGTGGACAATGTCACTGACTTTGGCAGGAGGGTTGGAACTAGATGATCTTTGATGTCGCCTCCAAACCAAAACATTCTATGACTCCATGAAAAGTAGCTCAATATATTTCTTTAAACATTCCATAAATAGATTAATGCTTTAATCTACATATAAACAATACATTGTACATATACAAAATGTATGTGTACAATAATGTTTAACTGGATAATTTTATCTGATATTTGAGTAAAATAATTCAGTCATAGCTGTACTCTACAATGAGTACTTGAAATGGAGTGACACACACATATACACAGACATTCCCTGCCTTTAAGCCCACTTCACCAGAGGATACAAGATGTCTCTATTGAAAAGTTGATTCAAGACTAAAGAAAAGAAAGATTTAACAGAATTAACAGGGAGTTACTTAAATAAAAGAGAAGCTTCATTTAAACAATTTAAAGCCGGGGCACAATGGCATTATCACGATGCTGAGTATTAATTATTATGTTTGCTCTTTCCGGCCTGTCACAATGATGAACAATAATGATAGCACAATGCGAGATATTCACCATTTAGCTAATTCACTCAGTCTAGGCAGGGATCAAAGATATTTCTATACTGTCTATTCCTTAACAATGGCCCTTTTTGGATCCAGTACAACTGAAAGAAACACAAAAATTGGTGTGACCTGTGTATATCTTCCTTGTCATATCCCAGAGCCTAAAAGCAGGAGCACAACAACCTAACTTCAGTCATTCCAGTGCAGCTGACACTCTGGAGAGGCAGAGCAGAGATCCAGGACTCAGTTCCCTTTCTCTCAGACTTGTAGCAGACAAAAAAATCAGAGAAAAAAAAAAATAAACCAATTTTCATAGACAACTGGAGCTGTGTGCAAGATGTGAGCTTTGTCAAGTGTCCTCCCTGGAACCAGTGGGTTGAGTTGAACAGACCCCCAATATTTACCCATTTCCTATCAACACAATTCCCTGTGGTTTCCTCATTATCACTTTGCTCATCAGTGAATGTATGATGCTTGCTGTTTGCTGCCTAGGACACTGCATTTCTTTTTGCAAATGGGTGAATAACCATTCATATCTCTGACTAGAGTCTTTCTTTTGCTAGAGATATGCAACTAGATTTGTGTGAGGCAGCTGCTCAGTATTTGTGTGCCAGTCTGAGTGGTCCAGTATGTCATGGTGGACAGATGACGTCAGTTCTGGAGCTGGCAGCACAGGAACTGGGCCACTTCTTAGTGCTATGAATGCTGATAAAGTTGCCTTTCCAAGATTTGTTTCTTCTCTCAGAACAATATGATCTTGCAATATATGGGTTCAATTTGATTTTTTTTTTCCTGCAAGTCTTTCAGATTTAGCCCATTGTCTGAGAGCTCTGAACGCCTTCAGTGTATTCTCTAGAAAATTTGATACAAGCATTGTGGTGTGTCTGATAGTGCAAAGTTAGGTATTATAACAGGCATACTGCCAGAGCAGAAATTTCTTCTCATCCACATGCCAGTGCAGAAATGCCACTTGTAATTAATATTTCTTCCTGAAAGACCCTTATTGTCCATCTTCCCCACCATAAAAAAGCACAAGTCAAACAAACAAAAATCCCTGCAAACCACTCCAATCCATTGTGACTCAAAACTGATGCCAAACACTATTATCTTCCTCTCTGGAATTTTCTGACAAACCCTACTTGTTGCACTTCCATCTGTTCAGACACTATCTTTTGCACAGCAAAATCTATGTCACTGTGTCTTGTTCATGAAAGTTATTGCTAATATTTTAACAGGAAACAATGAATCTAATCCATCAGCTATATGCATTTCTATAACACAAGAAACACATCTGAATTTTAAATTTTATGAATATACAAACATAAAAGCAAGTGTTCCTTGAAGTCGACCCATATCCACCCTCCAAACATTCCCAGACAAATGCAACTCTTCAAACATGATCAAAGGAACTCTGGACCAGCATTAATAGAGTGATATGAGCCTCACTTTTCAATACAGACAGCCAAATGCTGTTCATTGTATATTTTTTATTTTCTAGTATTTACTATTTCTCATAGCATTATTTTATGCCTCTTTGCTTTTTATCTGTGCTTTGGTTGAAAAAGCTAATGTGTGAGCAGCAAAATAAAACATACAGGGTAATTCTTTGAAACAACTTAAAAGAAAAATATGTTTCAATGAGTCTGAATTTCTTGCATGCAGACAGACTGTAAGCAAAATAAAAGAGGGAAAAAGCTAAGCATAAAGACATAACACTGTTAAGGAAAATGCAGAGTGATACAGTAAAAAGGAGGAGACATCAAATATGTAGCAGAATTGTTTATTACAAGTTACTATTTTACAGTCAGTGGATATATAATTCTGGTTTGGACACCTGCATAGAATTATGTCCACAACTGCACTTTACTGATCATACTGTGTGAAATTGTTTCTCTTCCTTGAGCAAAAGGCAAACAAAAGGTTACAGGGATGAATGTGTTTGTAAAGTAATCTGCATCACTGAATGCAGAAAATTTCCACACATGTATCTATGATGTCAATTTATACCCTTGGACTGTCTGGCAAATATAAATATACATGTTCATATATATGCATAATTTAAAATAGTCTAGCTGTCTTGAGAAGGTACCATGTATAAATGTGTGTGCATGCATGTGTGTGTGTTCTAGAACCAGAAAAAAAGCTGTTACCCTCTCAAGATACCTACAGAATTTCAAATGCACACACATGCAATATACGACCTATCTGTATAAATGACAAACAGTGAGTGAAGAATCCTGTTAATGTTATTAAAACTGAAAATTAATTATAAGACTGGTACAACTGACATTTCTCTTCATGAATAATTTTACTTTACTGAAACAGAAAATAGGCAGGCCACTTAATTTTTAAAGGGGCATAAAGTTCAGAAGGCTGTTCCATCTATTCATAGCCATATCTGAATATCAAAACTGCACTTAAAAGAGCCCCCCCAGAAAGTTTCTTTCTATGTGTTTTTTTCTGCCATTCCTCCCTCCTCTCAGTCCCAAAGTCAACGAGAATTCATATTTTAATAAATCTGTGTCAATATGCATTACCGAAGCCTTACATTTACACTGATGAACACACAGAGAACTGTCCTTAGAGTCTAAAAACCACACTTCAACATGAAGCAGATGTGTTAGCCATGTTACAATAAATTCATGAAAAGAATCTTCTTAAATGCTGCCATTAGCACAGCACACTACTTTGGAACAAGCTGTGTTGGGAGGTATACCAGGGGAAGGAAGGGAGATACCACTGCACTCAGTGCTTCTCCATTCCAGGTTTATAAAATGCTTTTAACTTGCCTGTCAGGTAGCATAGTTGTTCAAAGCAGTAATGTAAGAAAGTTTCATTAATCCTTAAGAAACAAATGACACAAAATCTACTAAAAACGTAGTTCACTTGGGATTTTTGTGGGATTTATCAATATGCAATATTATTACTTCAACTTTACATCACCTGCACATCATTTGTTTTCAGTTCTGACTTGCTCTTTCCAAGTCTTGTAAGAGCTGTTTCTCTATTTCCCCGTGAAAAAAAAAAAAAAAAAAAAAAAAAAAAAAAAAAAAAAAAAAAAGCAAGCATCCTTCTTCAGATCCCTGCCAGAGCACACGTACAATCTCCGTATGCTTAAGTTCCACTGATAGTATGCTTCCATGGTTAGGTGTGATCCTATTGTCTTAAGAGGATACTTTATATTATAGGATATGATTTTGCTAAATACAACAATTAAAACAGAAGTGTGGTGCTTCAGAAAGCATTTTGGTGAGCTTCCAGGGACATACCTGCCAGCTGCCAAGCTGGCTTAGAGCTCTAGGCTCAATCTATTCACCCATCCATCACCAAAAGGTCTGAATGACTGATAACAAAAACAGATGATTCATTGTTGGTATGCTTTCTGCTCTCTCTCTGTCCTATGGAAGACATGGCATTTTAAGATTAAGCTTGATATTTAAGGCTCAGAAAAAGTTACAATATAAAGAGGGCAGTTTTTATATTACTGGATAGATACTTGTTCCTAAATTTTAAACCACAAAGAGGGCCAGAAATTAAATTTTTCATTGTTAGCTGATCTTTAAATGAGCAGGTACCCATGCCTATCATCTTGAGTAAAAATACTGTCAGAAGATGCTCTCCCTTTTTGGTCTTTTTAGATAGATCTGACTAATAAGATAATATTTCTTTTCCATTTACTTAACAAGTGTTATTCAAGGTGTTGACCTTGAATTTAATAGCACAAACATCAGGGACATATCTCAGCGGCCTATTAGAAGGAAAAGACAACTTTAGGTCTGCTATGGTGATGGCAGAGAATAAAAGAGAAATACATTATCTTGAATCTTGAAAAGCACAGGGAGCATTTCCACATAACAACTTTGGTCAAGTGATACAAATAAAATGAGAAATGAACAAAAAAAAAAGCTCTTCTCTTTAACATTTAAGTACTTGCTAGCTGCACTGTTAGTGTATCAGATTACTGTAGAAAAAGCTTTGTCTATTCAGGTAAACTGGATACGTAATTTGCACTGTGAATACAGAATCACAGATTGGAAGAATTTTGGTTGGAATGTACCTTTAAAAGTCACCTACTCCAACCCCCCTGTAATGAGCAGAGACGTAGAGAAGTCACAGAGACAAATGATCTGAGTGTGAGATCTTTGCAACATGAATTCAGCAACATGGGAGGGAAACACAGCTGAGATACCATTACCTTTTGGGCTGTGGTGAAAGTCAAAGATATTTTGCACAGTCACAATGTTCACAATCTATATAGGATTTTGAACAGTTTGGACAGTTTCTCACAGGAACAGTGAGACAGTCACAAAAAATATTCAGCTGAATAAATTTCCTTCAAGGAAAAGCTTAAAAGAGCTCAAATTGTTTAGTTTGTCAGAGGATGAGGCACAACTTGATTACAGGAATAAGCATCAGCTACAAAAGTGCTCTTTGATTCAGTGGACACAGTAAAATATCTGTAATATACTGAAAGCAAATCCAAGTACTAAAGCATTACAAAACATCAGCATTCCACTGAATATATATATTACAATACAGTTTTAGTCATACAATAACTCATCATTTTCTTCCACAGGAAGCTTCAATGAGTTTGCAGTATAGTCGGCAGTTATTTAGCAAATTTTTTGGTTTATTCTCATTGCATAATTTGTGGCCCTGCAATTCACTCATTGTACCATTTGAACCTAGCACCAAACACGGCACTGTTTATTTTTTGACTTTCATTTAGCTGTCACTTTAACAGCATAGAAGTGTAATTCAGTGAACTGAAAGATACAGGAAGATAAAAGCCCTCATTACACACACGTTATACAACACTCCACTTGGTGATTCAAACACTACTCAAAATTTCTGCTTAAGATACTCATAAAATTCTAATAGAATAAACAAAATATTTTCAATATTGGTAGAAACATTGATAAGCCTTTTAAAGCTTTTTTGAGAGTTACTTGTAGGAATTGTTTAAAGAGTGGAAAGCCAGTATCAGCATGAGTTTTGAGCATGTTGGTTTTCAACAGAAAATACTTCTGTGGAAATACTCCAGGTCTTCCCATCATGTATTGGGAGGGAAATGGCATCTGCAGGTTCTTGGTAAACACCTGCAGTGTTGCTCCTCAGTGGTCAAGCCATACTTTGCACATAAAGATATTCCACAGCAGAAGCTTCAAGGTCAGATGCTTTTTCAAGCAGAGTCTGATCAGGTCACTGCTTGTGAGTCACCAAGGGGGGAATATTTTTTTTCTGTTCACAGGAGAACATCTCCTGCCTGAGTACAGACTGGCTATCCATCTGAAATGGGAGTTTTCTTTCTTTGCCATGCACTGCCTGCCAAGATCAGTTCCCCTGCCTGGAACAACACCTGCCTTGAAACTATTAAGGAAAGGTTTGGGTTTCCTGACAAAGACCTTCTGCCATGGATATTGCCAACACAGCCTTGAAGGCTTACAAAAGGAGGCCTAAAAGAAGCCTTCAGCCCTGAGCTGGGCCATCTGCTGGGAGGAACTGATGTACACAGTCTAACATCAGATTTTCCTGGCTGGGTCTCCACCAGCCTGTCCCAGTCCCACTCCCATCTCAACCTGACTCCTCATACCAGTCCCAGGTAACTCTCCCACCACACCCGCTGACTCCAGGGCTATGTCTGCATCATGGGCTGCACATCAGCTCCCACCTTCTCCCTCACTACACCCCCATACACTGTCAGGTTTCCTTACAGTTATTCTCAAAACCAGATGGTCACACCACTTTCTTTTCTACAAGGCCACCTTTCTGCAAATAACTTGGACAATTCCAAGTTGAAGTCGAAAAGCTGAGAGGTAAGACAGTCTGTCCCTATTCCTTTCTCCAATTTCTGAACTACAACCTGTGGTGGTAATCTTTATAGATGTTACTTTCAAAATGCAATATGTGTCTACAAAACACTGGTGAACCTGAGTCTTTCAGAGAATTACAGCTTTGTAACACTTTGGCTAAATTTCTTGGAAATGACAAGAAAGATGTCAAAATGGATTTGAAGTCTCTGCTCAATGCTTTAGAGATGCTGGAACATCTCAGCTTTTCATGCTATCTGGTCTAAACTTCAAGTGCTGCTGAGTTATTTCAACTTCTACTAAATATTTGTGTCCACTGGTGAGAAAGATAAAATAGGAAAAGGAAAGGCATGTTGAATGATGGCATTTATTATGCCTAAAATGCTGTGCTGCCTCACCTCTGCAGGAAAAAACAATCTGAATGAAACATACAGAATTTGGTTTTAAAAAGTGTAGAGCTGTACTAAGTTAAAAGCTGCACATCTGGTACTTCTTGATTTGTCTTTGCAAATGAATTTTAAACCTAAGGTACATTTTTAAGAGGCCGGAGCTCTTTGCAGCTTATCACAGCACATCACACTTGCAGATGTTTTGTTTTTACTAGAAAGTCACAATTATCTTATGTTACAGTGTGATACATAAGGTACACATCTGGTCATACTATATTACTGTCAGAACAGTAGTTTATATTGGACAGACACTGCTTCAGCACACAATGTGTGCAAAGGCCACAAGAGAATTTCCTGAGCTTTACTCTCCAAGGATCCCTAACACTCCTTAGCAACCTTGCGGGGAGAACTGAAATCACAGCCTCCAGGCAGCAGGTGATAAGTCCCTGTATACTTGAAAGAGTTGCTGGCTACAGCAAGCACATGTACATTTCCAGAAAAAAATATTTAACAGCACGTCATCAAACTAGGATATAGATAAAAATATTAAGATTGAACACAGCAAGAGGAATAGTGGCAAGTAGACTCCTGCAGTGGCCTTACATCACGGCACAGAATGCACAGCTTTAGATGATGCTTTTCAAGAAAATTTGACAACAGGTTCCTATAAACCTATAATGGACTGAGGAGCACCAGAAAGGTGTGAAATGACAGTCTGCGAGACTGTGATCTAATTGCTAGGACTGTTGACCACTAGAAGCTCTTTTGCATGTCAGACTATATTATGGGGTGTATTATCTATACTGAACTACAGAATTCTTTCCTGGTACTGCCTCAATTACTACATTTTTTCCACTAATAAACTTTGTCTAGTGGAGTTTGCAATTGTTCCAGAAGGAACAATTTTGGGACTGAAATGTCACAAGGCAGCACAAGCATAAATATTTTGCCTATCCCTTTCACTTTTAAGATACTAAGTTCTGATGCTTCTCATTCTCTGCCATACAGTTATGGGGGTAGAAGTGTCCAGGCCCTTATTATGCACAGCTGACCTTTTATTTCCTGCAAGTGCATTCAATTTCAGGTAGTTCACAGTGTGGTCTTGAAATGTTATTTTCCATCATACTAAACTAATCGGAGGGCTACATTTTTACACATTTTATGAACTCAAGAGTTTGCTTTCCTGTGTAGCATGAAAAACAGAGGTCACTCAGAAGGTTATAACTCTTTCAACAAAACAACTGTTGTGACACTTTTGAAAGAAAAGAAGGACAACCACTCATAAACACTGGGAAAACCACTGTATAGCTAAGAAATTATACTTTTTTTTTTTTCTTTGTGTGACTCCTGTTTCTAAAAAAACCCTAGAATTCCAGTCCACGTATCATTATGATAATACTGATTTAAATGTTATATTAAGGAAAGTTTAAACTTGATCAATACTCATTTAAAACTTCATTTTATTTATACATCTCTTGCAAGTGAAGCCTGTCTCCATTTTCTTTTCTACTTGTATTCATGGTTGCTGATGAGCTGTATCTTCTCTTTCCACTGTTTTCACATCATTTACTTAAGGTACAGGTAGCTCCAGTTTTCACTCAGCATTTCATTTATATACTTCTCAGACTTCTTCCAGTCAATGCTTAGCCTTTGAGTTTTGATACCCTGATATTACATTATGTATAGTGTTTTCAATCTCAAATAATCTGATATTTAGATTACATATTACTTAAAATGCCAGTCCTTGTCCACCTACTCAGTAACTATGTCCTCAGTCACAGTGTCCTCATCTCACGTACTATTTCTCTTTTCCCTCTTGTTCACAGCCAGGAAGATTCCCATCTTGAACGTGCTGCCGGCTGCATACATGTCAC